TGCATAGAGAGGTGAGGGGAGTAGAAACAGCAGCACACTGCTGTGCGAGCACAGGTTTGATCATTGTAGGATAGCCGGCTGGGTTCCCAGCACAGCTAGAGAATTGACCACGCTGTGTTGGTGTGGTCAGTATTTAATAGGAAAGCAGATGGACTGGTGGAAACACCAGGGATTTCACACAAAGGAAGCCTTCCAAAACGAACAGGATACTTTTTTTATACAAGTACATGGTACAACTAGGCACATATATCATGAATATGAAATGTTGGGTTTACATATTTAACGTGTTACCAAACCCAGAACCCTGCATTCACTATATCTGGTCTCCCACAGTACACGGAAATGCAATTATTTCAGTAAATATAAACCGCTAAATATCTTCTCTCATCAGCAGTATATAGCAGTTTTGTGACTTCTATCACTGTCCAGCCGAGCACTGGTTAATCTTATAGGAGGAGTTTTCATTCTCCTCTAGTTATCCTGTGAGGCTGCATAACCCCTGACCCTCTGTCTGGACAGTGCTGATTGGTCCTGTTCCGATCATATGTGCACTCCCAAGAAAAAAAATAGCAACACAAATCAAACTGAGCATGTGCAGCTTGCCCCCAAGGCTTTATTCTATCAGAAGATGGATTGGGGACGGTAAAAAGAAGGGGAGGATCAGTGAAGACAAGATCAAACAGCCTTTTTGCACAATGCAGAGGATTGACCCCTTTTAGGTTACACAGTGAGTATAACAAGCATGCTTTACTGCATATACAGACTGATTTTACTGTTGTGGGTTTAATAACACTTCAACACAAAAAAGCATTTTTACTTTTGTGTATGTTGCTGCAAAGCTGCTGCACACAGATCTGCCAACAAGTATGTAGTGCAATGGCCTACCTGATTGGATACAAATTGATGGGATAGTTAAGGTAGATCCTCATATTACAATGTTTTGGGAGACCCGAGGTTGGTTGTACAATGTTTGTATAGTCAGATTGTACAGTGAATGGTGAGCCTTATAGAAATTTCCCTTTACTTCTATCCTGTGGACATCCTTTTTACCAGACAGGAAGTGAAGGAATATCTCCAACGGAGCCTCAATGGCAGTAAAACATCACCGGAGTTGTGAGCCTTCAACACGTTTTACAAAACTTAAAAAAATGTTTTGGCTATAGATTTGCTTTAGCTGCTTGCTGCCCAGTCGCAGCAGAGTTACTGTGACCGAGCGGCAGCTGTAGGCTTAGCAACATAAATAAGTGCTGTTAGCTTGGGTCATGCTTGCCCCTGCTGACCTGTGCTGTGGTTGGACATAGCGTGAGTTTACCAATAGGTTTCAGCCAGTGATTTATGGCTGAGACCTGATCGGCTGTGACCTATCACAGCATAGGGATCAAACACAAAGGGCTCTGTACATACAGCAGCAATTTAGCTTTCTTCTCCCTGAAAATCGGAGAGAAAAAAACAGCCAGATCTCTCCATAAAAGTAGCACACAAATGCACACATTACACTTGTTAGGCACACATTACACTTGTTAGGCACACAGTTAACCCCTTGATTGCCCCTAGATGTTAACCCCTTCCCAGCCAGTGTCAGTAGAGGGACCATGTATAGTATTATATCTGTATTAGTGTCACTAGTGATGTCAGTTAGTGAGAGTCTGTTAGTGCCAGATTGGCTGCCACACTGTCATAGTCCCACTTTAAGTCACTGATCACCGTCATCACTAGTATTAGTGTCAGAGCTGTGTAAATACCATAGTTTGCAGACAGTATACCCCTCACAAACCAATTGCTATACACTTGCTGGGAATTTTTATACATTATTATTTATTACATGTAGCAGAATACATTTTGTCCTAAATTCATGAAGAAACTGCATTTGTTTGTTTTCCTTTTTTTGGGTATTGTTTTGGTAGAATATGTTTTATATATATAACAAAGTAGAATATACATACATACATACATACATACATACATACATACATACATACATACACACCTCAAAAAACTTAAAGGAACACTTTTTAATCAGAGTATAGCATCAAGTCAATTAAACTCCTGGGATATTAATCTGGTCAGTTAAGTAGCAGAGGGGGTTGTTTAATCAGTTTTAGCTGCTTTGCTGTTAATCAAATTAACAACAGGTGCACTAGATGGGCAACAATGAGACGACCCCCAAAACAGAAATGGTTTTACAGGAGGCCCACATTGACATTTTTTTCCTTACTCATCTTTTCTGACTGTGTTTCACTATCACTAGTTTTGCATTTGCCTAGGGTAAATGTCACTACTGGTAGCATGAGGTGATACCTAGACCCTACAGAGGTTGCACTGGTAGTCCAATTCCTCCAGGATGGCACATCAATACGTGCCATTGCTAGAAGGTTTGCTGTGTCTCCCAGCACAGTCTCAGGAGCATGGAAGAGATTCCAGGAGACAGGCAGTTACTCTAGGGGAGCTGAACAGGGCCTCAACCTATCAGCAGGGCCAGTATCTGCTCCTTTGTGCAAGGAGGAAGAGGATGAGCACTTCCAGAGCCCTACAAAATAACATCCTGCAGGCCACTGGTGTGACTGTCTCTGACCAAACAATCAGAAATGGACTTCATGAGGGTGGCCTGAGGGCCCAAGGTCCTCTAGAGGGCCCTGCGCTCACTGCCCAACACCATAGAGATTGATTGGCATTTGCCATTGAACACCAGAATTGGTAGGTCTACCACTGGCGCCCTGTGCTTTCCACATATGAGAGCAGGTTCACCCTGAGCACATGTGACAGGCATGAAAGGGTCTGGCGAAGCCGTGGAGAACGTTATGCTGCCTGTAACATAGCCCAGCATGACCGTTTTTGGTGGTGGGTCAGTGATGATCTAGGGAGGCATATCCATGGAGGGACATATGGACCTGTACAGACTAGACAATGGCACCCTGTTTCTATCAAAAATAGTGCTTCCAGCTTGGGCGGGGGGAACGACACATGTACCCTCCTGCTATGTGACAGTGCTTGGACCTAGCAGTCAGTTGACGGAGGGAAAATGATGCTGGTAGGGTGAGTATAACTGGGGTGGGAGAGAAGGGGGGTCCTTTTCTAACATGTCATATCACATGCTTCTCTTTGGATAAGGAGTACTCGGTAGTAACTTGCATTCTCTTATCAGGTAGTCCATCTAGCTACGAGGCCTGGTCTCTCTTGCAGGCATGTGGGTCTAAATGCCTGCGGTGCTCCCATCAGAAAGAACTGAGATTGTAGACACCGTTTGGAGCAAGCTGCAAGAATTAGGTATGGACTCTTTAATCCTCCAAATATATTGGTATTGAATTGTAGATAAAATCTACATGTCTTCTGTATGTATAGCTTATTCTTAGACTATGGTGGCTGCAGTCACCTCCAACAGGCTGCTATTTTTCATTACACTGTATAGGTCCATTAAATGCAGGTAGGTTACAATACAGTACAGGTAGGTTTTTGTTCCCACCTGCAAACTGTACATTAATGCTCGCTGACATGATGCCCTGAGCTGATTACATGTTAATAAGCATACTCCCTTAAGAGAGCCAGCAGCCAAGACTTTGTGTGTGCCAACTCTCAATCCTGGCTGACAATTTGGAACCAATCTGAGTGGTCCTTGATCATTTGATCTGTTGATCTCTGTTGTCACATGCTGGCCAGAGGCTTCATTGACAAACACGAAAGCCTACAGAGTCAGACTGTAGTCTTCCTTTGGAGTGCCATGTATTTAAAGCAGACCTTGCTCCTGATAGCAAAGTCCGCTTTTTAATTGTCACCTCCTCCACTTTGCTAAAAGGCTGAAGAGTGTTGTCGTCGTTCTGGAGAGATCCTGGGCAATACTGAGTAGCCCAAATCTCTGGGAAGATGATCTTCATTGTTTTCTTGAAAGATCTGGAGTACTTGGCATTCTTGGTGATCTTGTTGACAGGATGTTGACTTCATCCTCTCTACTATGCGTAAAGTTGAGCAATATATCTAGACTTCTTCCTCTACAGGTGTTTTTTTTTTTTTTTTTTAAATTTCATTCAGCATTTCAGCAGTGTGGAGGAGAGCCACATTTTATAAAAGTGGCCCTTTATTTAATAGTTCAACTATGCAGATTTGTGGTTGGGCTAAAGGTTCCATTCTTGGGTCTGCATCTTACCTGGTAGCCAGATTTCACTATTAGTCTCAGCTGTCTACAGGCCTTTATATACGTGAGCACACTGTTGCTCAGGGCTTTCTCTCTCCTGTGGGAGCCTGCTGCTAGACGAAAGGTTGACTGCTGATAGAACACTAAACAGGTACAAGTGCTGCCTTGGGGAACCCTTTAGGGGGCATCCGGTTAATATGGACCTTTTGTTAGTGGCTTGGCAAGTCTTACATAATGGTCTTAAAGTGATTGTAAAGGCATTTTTTTAAAATCACAAACTTACCTGCTCTATGTAATGATTTTGCAAAAAGCAGCGCTGATCCTACTCTTTCGTTCCCTGCCGGCACTCCGGGACCCTCCCTCCTGCTAAGTGCCCCCACAGCTGTGTGTTTGTTTTTTTTTTTTTAACACACGGATGTGGCTCGGCCATGCCTTCTCCTCATTGGCTCACTGACTGTGTCAGCCAATGAGGAGGAAGATACCCAAGACAGCCGAGGCTCTTGTGCACATTGCTGGATTGAGATGGGCATCAGGTACGTATTGGGGCCGAGGGGGAGGGGGTGCTGCTGCACACAGAGGGATTTTTTTACCTTCCTGCGCAGTGCATGAAGGTAAAAACATTGAGCTTTTACAACCACTTTAACTTGTTGCCGACCGCAGATAGCCGAATGACGGCTTCACTGCGGCCGGCCAGTTCTGAGTGGACGTCATATGACGTCCCCCCAGAACGCGCTCTCCGGGGCGCGCACCCGGCGATCTCCGTGATCGCTGTGTCCTACGGACACAGCTGATCACGTGATGCGGTAAAAGGCCAATCACAGCGGCCTTTTACCACCTGATCAGCGGTGTCCAATGACACGCTGATCAGAGGGAAATGCAAGTGCCGGTTCTCGGCTGCACTTTCCTCACGCTGTCAGATCGTGAGGAAAGTACTGCCGAGAACTGGCAGTTGTCAGAGCGGGGATCGGCACCGATCATCAGGACACTGATGATCAGTGCCCTGATGATCGGTGCCCAGCAGTGCCACCCGCAAGTTCCGCCCACCTGTGCCCAGCAGTGCGCCCACTGTGCTCCGCCCACCTGTGCCCAGCAATGTCACCCACCTGTGCCCAGCAGTGCACCCACCTGTGCCACTCTGCAATGTCACACACCTGTGCCCAGCAGTGCCACCCACCTGTGCCCAGCAGTGCCACCCACCTGTGCCCAGCAGTGCCACCCACCTGTGCCCACCCACCTGTGCCCCACCGTCCACCAGTGCCGTCCACCAGTGCAGCCCAGCAGTGCTGCCAGTCAGTGCCACCAGTCAGTGCCCAGCGGTTGTGCCAGTCAGTGCCGCCAGTCAGTGCCCAGCAGTGATGCCAGTCAGTGCCGTCTATCAGTACCCATCATCAGTGTCACCTATCAGTGCCGCCTATCAGTGCTGCATATTAGTGCCGCCTATCCGTTCCACCTCATTAGTACTGCCTATCAGTGCCCTTTAGTGCTGCCTATCAGTGCCCATCAGTGCTGCCTCATCAACGCACATCAGTGAAGGAGAAAAATTACCTGTTTGAAAAGTTTTATAATAGAAACAAAGAAACTTTTTTTTTTTTTTTTTCAAATTTTTGGCAATTTTTTATTTATAGCGCAAAAAGTAAAGCGCCCAGTGGCGATTAAATACCACCAAAAGAAAGCTCTATTTGTGAGAAAAAAATGATCAAAATTTCATATGGGTACAATGTTGCATGACCGCGCAATTGTCAAAGTGCGGCAGCTCTGAAAGCTGAAAATTGGCCGGGTAAATAAGGGGGTATAAGTGCCTGGTAGGCAAGTGGTTAATGTACACAGCCTTCCTGCATTGGAACTGTGTTTGCTGACTTGCTAAATAAAAGTTCAGAACAAACCTGCTAGGACTGTTGCTGGGTGTCCCTCGTGCATGGTTTACTGCTGACAATACCATTCACAGTATGTTGTGTGTTTACTGTGGAGAAAATAATTATTTGATCCCCTGCAGATTTTGTAAGTTTGCCCACATAAAAAGAAATGAAGGGTCTATAATTTTTATCATAGGTGTATTTTAAATAATACAGACAGAATATCAACCAAAAAAAAAAACATATGATACAAATGTTATAAATTGAGTTGCAGTTCCGTGAGTAAAAGTATTTGATCCCAAAACAACCAACAATAATTCTGGCTCCCACAGTCTGGCTATGTGGTACACAGATTAGTCCTGTCAATTTAAGGAGGTGCTTCTAACTACAACTTGTTATGTGTATAAAAGAAACCTGTCCACAGAATTTAACTTGGGCACCACCATGGGCAAGGGCAAAGAGCTATCCAAGGATATCAGGGACAAGACTGTAGACCTGCACAAGGCTGGAATGGGCTACAAGACCATCAGCAAGAACCTGATGAGAAGGAGACAACTGTTGTAGTGATTATTTGCAAATGGAAGGAATACAAAGTAACCATCAATCGCCCTTGGTCTGGAGCTCCATGCAAGATTTCGCCTCTTGAGGTAATTATGATCGTGTGGGATCATCACAGAACTACATGGGAGGAGCTTGTGAATGATCTCAAGACAGGTGGGACCACAGTCCCCAAACAAACTATTGGTAACATGATATGCCACCATGGATTGAAATCCTGCAGTGCCCGCAAGGTCCCCCACCTCAAGAAGGCACATGTACAGGCCCATCTAAAGTTTTCCAATGAACATCTAAGTGATGCAGAGAAGGTTTGGGAGAAACTGCTGTAGTCAGATGAGATCACAATTGAGCTCTTTGGCATTAACTCGACTTGCCATTTTTGGAGGAAGTAAAATGCTGACTATGACCCTAAGGACATCCCTACAGTCAAGCACGGAGGTGGAAACATTCTGCTTTAGGTCTGTTTCTCTGCTAAAGGTACAGGCTGGATTTGCGGCATTGAGGGGCCAATGGATGGGGCCATGTAGTGTAAAATCTTGGATGAGAACCTTCTTCCCTCAGCCAGAACACTGAAGATGGTTCGTGGATGGGTCTTCCACCATGACAATGACCCAAAACATACTGCCAAGGCAACAAAGGAGTGGCTCAAGAAGAAGCACATTACGGTTGTGCAGTGGCCTAGCCATTCTCCAGACCTTAATCCTATAGACAATTTATGGAGGGAGCTGAAACATCGAGTTGCCAAGCGACAGCCAAGAAACCTTAAGGATTTGGAGATGATCTTTTTGCTTTGGGTTCAAATACTTATTTTACTCGCTGAACGACAACTTAGTTCATAGCATATTTATCGTGTTTTTTTTTTTTCTGGATTTTTGGTTCTGTTGCTATTCTTTAAAATACACTTTTGATAAAAATGTATAGACACTTAATTTCTTTGTGAATAAACTTACAAAATCTGCAGGGGATCAAATAATAATTTTCCCCACTACTGTATATATACTTATTTTGTGTATGCTCATCCAGTATAGTGCAGTCAAATATAACACCAGTGTAGGTTTGTGGCCAAAGTCGTTTGCTGAATCTCTGGTCAAGTTGGTTTTAGATAGAATTGAAATTAAAAGGTTGAAGTTTGTGTTTTTATTTTTTCTCAACTGTAACTAATATCCGCTGATATGGAATGCAAATTTCGGTAATTGTTCTGCAAGTTCATGTTAGGAGTTCATTGGCTGATCTGCAGATGCTTAGAAGTATGTATTTTGCCAATGTTTTATGACACTTTTATTGATTTTTTTAATTCCTAATTCTTTTTCCTTATCAGGTGTTGTCTTCAATGAAAGCCATTACAATGTGTTACTGAAAGTTTATCTTGAAAATGAGCACAAATTCTCACCTACTGAATTCCTTTCTCGCATGGAGGCCGCCCAGTTACATCCAGATCAGGTAAGTGGTGTGAAATGCGTCTACAAAATTGCTTAGGGTCTTTAAGTTTTACCAACCTGAAATAATATTGGGGCCTTTGGAGACAATGAGTCAGATTCTTTATTTTCCCCATAGAATGAAAAATGACTGTACTGTTGCTGTACGCAGTTGCTCCATATTTGACAGACTTTAGGAGCTGTTCCAGACTGAAAAAAAACATTAAAAAAACAGATGTAGACCATTTAAGGCCTCGTTAACACTTATGTGCAAAAAAACTGATGGAAAAAACGAGTTTACATCAGTTTACATGAACGGTTTAGTGAGTTTCATACACGTTGCAGACTCCTGGAGAACATGGATGCATGGAGAACATTTTTTTTTTTTTTTTTTTGTGCACCATGGTGTGAATGAGGCCTAAGAGCGAATCTTTTTTTGCTTTTATGACTGCCCCCCTTCCCTTCCCCCACCTCCAAAAAAAAAATGTCAACAGTGCCCCAGGAAGCAAAAGGGTGTGTGTGTGAGATTAGATAATAACCCCCATGTGTAGATCCACAGTGGTCAGCTGAGGGCACACAATTATGAAAAAAAAAAATAAAATAAAAAATTATATCTATACCAATGAAAAAGGAAAGAACTCGTTAGCCACACAAAATATCTGACCTTATTTGTTGATTTTATTTCTTTTACCAACAATTTTATTAAGAATGTTGAAAGAAACATACAAACCATGACAAATCGCATGATACAAAGCGACAACAAACAATTGAGGATAGGGAAACATCATACAACAAACACAGAAATACACATATAAGACCCACACTGGGGTCTAGATAACCCTGTGTAAGGCAGAGGACTGCAAGGCCCACAACCACATTCAGAAATATATAGGCTACATGCAAGAAAGCGGCAAAAAAAAAAAAAAACAGCCACGCCCTCATGAGGCAATATTGACCCCGAGAATCAAAGATTTGTTAGATGACAATAGCAAATGATAGACAATTGGTCTAATATAAACAAACCATATGAAAGAAGAGAAAAAAGAAAAAAGTCAAATAGATCCAGAAAAGGCCAAGGGATCAAAAAATCCCCCCAAACCCCCCCAATCTATAGAAAACCGAAAAACAAAAGGAAGAAAAAAAGCGAAGAGAAGAAAGACAGGCCAGCAAAGAAAAAGGGTTTGCCTGGGGTGGGATAGCCGCGAGACACGATCCTCACATATGGGGAATGGAGAGGCAAAACCCAACACATCATAGATTAATACGTTTCATGGTAAAACAAGAAACCGGATGTAATCCACCATGGTTGCCAAACGGAGAGAAGCTGATCATGTTTATCCTCCAACACCGCCATCAATTTTTCGTTGATAAAGAAACCTTGGATTCTGGACCTGACCTCCTCAATTTGTAGAGTAGAGGATTTCCAAGAACCGGCAATAGCCTGCTTAGTAGCCATAAAAAAAAAAATTGACTCTGAGGTAGGCCACGAAGTGGCTTATAAAGTAAGGCCTCAATAGGATTTTTTTTAAGGTTAATGGATGTAACTGAATAAATAAGATTATAAACTCTAGTCCACAAGCGGCGGGCCACTGGACAGGTCCACCAAATGTGGAGCATCTTGCTCTCTAGAGAGCAGCCTCAAAAACACGGAGTCATAATCTGGTATAAATGTAGCTAATCGAGATGGGGTAAAATACCATCTCGAAATTACTTTATAGGAGTTATCCAATGCATATATGTTATGAGAGCATCAAGAAACCCCTTGCCACACAAAACCCAATCCTCAGCAGAAATTTCCATCTGAAGCTCCACATTCCATTGCGCAGAGTAAGCAGGTAGAGGTTCAGCCATATGATTCCAGATAGATAAATCAATTTGAGATAGGGCACCTTTAGTGGAAGCCCACGCCTTACAAAGCGATTCAAAACCAGAAAAGGTGCTGGGGGAATCCCATCTATGAATCAAAGGTACAACAAAATGACGTAATTGCAAATAACGAAATTACTCTCAAAGCTGCGCAAACGTACGCATACCTCGACCCGTGATTAACGAGTAAACCATCGTAAAACCAAGAGTAATCCACCAAGAAAAGGCCATCTTATCAGAGTCCCCTGTGTGAAAAAGCGGACAGTCGAATAATTGTAAAAGAGCTAAATGCGGGGAAAGCAAACCAGCCAAATACTTAAACGAGTCCCAAATTTGTAAAGAGTCAGGACAGGATACAACGGTTTAGGCCGCGAGGACATAGGAAGCCATGGCAAGGCTGAAGGCAGAAGGAGATGTGCGTCCAAAGTATCAATGCCCACAAAGGTAAGTCCTTGAGAGAAAAAAGTTGAATAAGGGGATTAACTTGGGCTGCAATATAGTAATGGTGAACGTTTGGAAGACCACCCCGAATACGTGG